TTAGCCTGAGGGCATGGTGCAACCCAGTATCAAATTCCCAAAATGGTGCTTTGGATCTGTATTCAGAAAGGCTGGGGCCCCACCCAGGCAAGCTGCATGGCTAAAAAACTGTGGAAAATGCTGTCTGCTCATGTCTCAGTCCCAACAGCAGCCCACAGCAGGGTGGTAGGGACCTTCCCAGGAGTGCGTGGGAGTGTCTGGGTGCCTCTATCCCTTCTTGGAGCTATTCAGTGACTGCAGATGCACCTGCAGTTCCCTGGTATGTAGGCTTTGAGAATGGTGTCCAGCTCAAGCTGCTCTAGGCTCAGATTCCTGTGGGAGTCTGCTTGGGTTCCCTTTCTGGAGCAACATCTCTGAGCCGTCTACAAGCAGCTCCCTATGTTGGGTCTGAGATCTGCATGGGTTGGGCAGTTCTCTTGAGGGCAAGATTGTAAAAGCTTGCCTTGGAGAACAGAGCCCCAGGGGCTTCTCTCTTACTGTTTCCCCAGAATCAGGAGCTTCTCCCAGCTCTTAGCCAGGCCCCAGCAGGGGAAGTTGGCTGCAGCCCTCTCCTTACCCACTTTTGGTGCTTCCCATCACTTCCCTGGTAAATTCTAGCAATCTTTCCTAGATGATCTGTTCAAAATGTTAGAATCTGTTTACTATTCTGATTCCTGTCTGTGAAGGAGGCACATGCTACCTGTGTCTAGTTAGCCATCTTGATCCTATCTAATTTCTTGGCTAAGACACCAAAAGCATAGGCAACAAAAGCAAAACAGGTAAGTGGGACTATCTCAAACTAAAAAGCTTCTGCGCAGTAAGGAAACAATAGTGTGAAGAGACAACCTACAGAATGGGAGAAAATATTTGCAAACTCTGTATCTAATAAGGGGTTAATATCCAAAATATATATTTTGCAATGGCAAAAACAAAAATTAACCCAATTAAAAATAGACTAAGCTCTAGAATACACATTTATCCAAACAATATATACAAATGGCCAACAGATATATGAAGAGATGCTCAATATCACTAAACATCAGAGAAATGCAAATCAAAACCATAATGAGATATCATTTCAACCTGTTAGGATGATTATTACCAAAAAATCAAAAAAACAAGTGTTGGTAAGGATGGAAAGAAATTAGAACCCTTTTGCACTGTTAGTGGGAATGCAAAATGGTGCAACCACTTTTGAAAACAGTGTGGAGGTTACTAAAAAATGACAAATAGATACACCATGTGATCCTGCAATCTCACTACTGGGTGTCTGTCCAAAAGAATTGAATTCACCTCAGAGCAATATTTGCACTCCCATGTTCATTGCCATGCTATTAACTATAGCCAATATGTAGAAACAACCTAAATGTCCTACCACAGATGAATGGATAAAGAAAACATGGTATATGCATACCTCAGAGACATTATGGGTTCAATTCCAGATCACCACAATAAAGCAAATATCACAATTAAGCAAGTCATACAAATGTTTTGGTTTCCTAGCATTTAAAAGTTATGTTTATATTATACTATAGTATATTAATATATATATTAATGAGCAATAGCATTCTGTAAAAAACCCCTGTGTATATATCTTAATTTAAAAAATACTTTATTGCTAAGAAAAATGAACAATCCTCTGAACATCTCAGTGAGTCAATAATCTTTTTGCTGGTGGGAGGTCTTGCCTTGATGTTGATCGCTGCTGACTGATGGTTGCTGAAGGTTGGGGTGGTTGTGGCAATTTCTTAAAATAACAGTGAAGGCCTGTAATCCCAGCACTTTGGGAGGTCAAGGCACAAGGATCACTTGAGGCCTGGAGTTAAAGACCAGCCTGGGTAACCTAGCAAGACCCATTTCTACAACAAATTTAAAAAATTAGCCAGGCCTGGTGGCATGCCCCTATAGTCCCAGCTACTTGGGAGGCTGAGGAAAGAAGATTTCTTGGGCCTGGGAGTCTGAGCTATGATCGTGCCCTACACTCCAGCCTGGTCAGTGGAGTGAGACTTGATCTCTTAAACAACAAAAAAAATTGGAAATTTGCCACATTGATTGACTCTTCCTTTCACAAAAGATTTCTCTGCAGTATATGATGCTGTTTAACAGCATTTTACCCATAGTAGAACTTCTTTCAAAATTGAAGTCAGTCCTCTCAAACCCTGCTGCTGCTTTATTGACTAAGTTTATGTAATACTCTAAATCCTTTGTTGTTATTTCAACAATGTTCACAGCATTTTCACCAAGAGTGAATTTCATCTCAAGAAAGCACTTTCTTTGCTCATCCATAAGAAGAAACTCCTCATCCATTCAAGTTTTATCATGAGATAGCAGGAATTCAATCATATCTTCAGGTTCCACTTTAATTATAGTTTTCTTGCTATCTCCACCGCATCTGCAGTTACTTCCTTCATTGAAGTCTTGAACACACTTCAAAGTCATCCATGAAAGCTGGAATCAACTTCTTCCAAACTGCTGTTAATGTTACTATTTTGACCTCCTCCCACAAATCACAAATGTTCTTAATGGCATCTAGAATGGTGAATCCTATCCACAAGGTTTTTAATTTACTTTACCAAGATCCATCAGAGGAACACTATCTGTGGCAGCTAAAGCCTTATGAAATGTAGTTCTTAAATAAGAGGACTTGAAAGTCGAAATTACTCCTCAATATATGGGCTGTAGAATGGATGTTGTGTTAGCAGGAATGAAAACAATATTAATCTCTTTGTACATCTCCATCAGAGCTCTTGGGTGACCAGATGCATTGTATGAACAGTAATATTTGAAAGGAATCTTTTTTTTTCTGAGCAGTAAGTCTCAACAGTAGGCTTAAAATATTCATTAAATCATGCTGTAAATAGATGTTCTGTCATCCAGGCTTTGTTGTTTCATTTACAAAGCACAGACAGAGTAGATTTGGTGTAAATGTTAAGGGCCCTAGGATTTTCAGAATGGTAAATGAGCATTGTCTTCAACTGAGAGTCACCAGCTGCATTAGCCCCTAACAAAAGAGTCCGCCTATCCTTAAAGCTCTGAAACTCAGCATTGTCTTTTCTCTAGCTATGAAAGTCTTAGATGGCATCTTCTTCCATTATAAGGCTGTTTCATCTACATTAAAAATCTGTTGTTTAGTGTAGTTATTTTCACCAATTAGCTGGATCTTCTGGATAACTTGCTGCAGCTTCTACATTAGCATGTGCTGCTTCACCTTGTATTGTAATTTTATGTTGCAGAAATAGCTTCTTTCCATAAACCTCAAGAATAAACTTCTGCTAGCTTTATACTTTTCTTCTGGAGCTTCCTCGCCTCTATTGGGTTTCATAGAATTGAAGAGAGGTAGGGAATTTCTCTGGACTAGGCTTTGGCTTAAGGGACTATTGTGGCTGGTTTGATTTTTTATCCAGACCACTAAAACTTTCTTCATATCAGCAATAAGGTTGTTTCACTTTCTTATCATTCACATGTTCACTGGAGTAGCACTTTTAATTTCCTTCAAGAACTTTTCCTTTGCATTCACAACTGAGCTAACCGTTTGGTGCAAGAGGCCTAGCTTTCAGCCTATCTCAGCTTTCAACATGCCTTTCTCACTAAAACTTAATCATTTCTAGCTTTTGATTTAAAGTGAGAGACATGGAACTCTTCTTTCACTTGAACATTTAGAGGCCATTAAGGGTTATTAATTGGCCTAATTTAAATATTGTTGTGTCTCAGGGAATTAGGGGGGCCAAGGAAAGGGAGAGAGATGGGGAAACAGCTAGTCAGAACACGCACAACGTTTATAGATTAAGTTCGTTGTCTTACATGGGCATGGTTTGTGGTGCCCCAAAACAATTACAATAGTAACATCGAAGATCACTGATCCCCAAAACAGATATAATAGTAATGAAAAAGTTTGAAAATGTGACACAGAGACATAAAGTGAACAACATGCTATTAGAAAAATGGGACCAATATAGACTCCTTGATGCAAGGTTGACACGAACCTTCAATTTTTAAAAAAACACACTATGAAGTGCAATAAAGCTAAGTGCAATAAAACAAGGTATGCCTGTATACATACAATGGACTATCATTCAGCATTAATAAAGGAGAAGATCCTGCCACTTGTGACAACATGGCTGAACCTTGAGGACCTTATGCTAAGTGAAATAAGCCAGTCACAGAAAGACAAATACAGCATGATGCCACTTATATGAGATATATAAAATAGTCAAACACACAGAAACAGAGTAAAATGATGGTTGCCTGAGGCTAGGGGGAGGGGCAAATGGGGAATTGCTTTTCAACAAGTATGAAGTTTCGGTCGTACAAGATGGTGAAGTTCTAGAGATCTGCTATATAACATTGTGCCTATAGTTAACATCACTGTATTTTACACTTAAAATTTTGTCAGCAGGGTAGATATCATGTTAAGTGTTCTTACCACAATTAAAAGGAAAAAAAAGAATCATGATGCTAATTGTGACCGTAGTAAATTGTTTTTACTAGAATTGCATTTATTTGTATCTCAGTTCTTTATTTTCTTTCTGTCCCTTTTAGGTTTTCCTTTTCTACTTGCTAAATATGTATTCCTTGTATTCCCAGGAAAATTTTACAAGTGTTTCAGTCAGCCTGTCTTGAATGGTTCTATTTTCTCTGATTTCATACATCTTTATTCTAGCCTCTTTTTGCAATCCCAAGCCTATCACTTAACCATCTGGCATTTATTTTATTTCCTCTCAGCTTTTACAAAATGTAGTCTATACCTGTTTTTGTGTCCTATATTTGTGGATCTGAAATCTTACCGCTTTATGCCTGTTTTCATTTCATTTCCACATTTGTTTATTTACCACTCCCCCATCTTCCCAGAGATTCATCAGTCCGTTTTTACTAAGTAGTGTTTATGTTTGGATAGCTGCTTTGATTTAAGTTGCTCTTTGTTTCTGGTGAGAAAATTGTAATAGTACTTTATTAATGTTCATACACATAAATAATGTGTTCATTATTTTATGTAAAATAAAATATTCCTATTAATTTTTAACAGATGCCCCTCTTATAAAGGAGATAGCTGAAACTACTCCAAATGAGGTAAGGGAAGTTGGGAGAGAACTTCTAATCGTCATTATTATATAAAGGGATGACATATTTGTAAATGGGGAAGTATTTATAGATTAATGAAAAAAGCACCCAAGAAGTTTTCAATTGTTTCATGGTTATTTCTATTATGGCAATATCTGCACAGTTACATTGTTGAAAGAGAGGCTTCAGCGTAAATAGTAATATTTAAAAATATGTTTGGAAATAGGGGACAAAAGGTGTTGAGGAAGAGAAAC